TAAACACATATAGTTGAAGTATACGCGGTTCTGTTTGTCATTGTAAAACGTGAACTAACATCAACACGAATGTTAAACGAAAAAGAAGAAAGAAAAAAAAGAAAAATAATTGCATTCTTTCTTTTCGGAATTTTTTACGTGACTTTTTTCCCCATTCGATCGAGACGAGCATCCGATGCTTCCTTCGTACGCTCTTGTTTTCAAAACGCTGAACTTTCCAATATTTCCGGGGCATTTTCACAACGAACAACCTTCTCTTTTTTTTTTTTTTTTTTTTTTTTTGCAGCACGATTCTCTTCGGTTTGGTTCGTTAACCCGTGTATTATCGTACGTACACACGCGTACATCCCACACAGAGACACAGAGTACGCAAGTACACGTATTCTTAGCGTTAGACATACCCAGATGTTTTGCTCAAGACGAAATATTTTTGCGTATTTAATCGAGATATACGCGAGCTGAAGGCGGTGCGTCACGATACGCGGGACTTTCGAAGCGTGTTTCCTTTGTAACACAGGAAGGCTGAAATTGAAGGGTGCTAAGCTCAAGAATGAATGTGCCGTGTTTGCGTGTGAAAGGACTGAACGAACGGAAGACAGAGAATGGACGAGGCAGAGACTGCGAGCCCACTGACTGAAAGCTAGCGAGCAAAAGAGTTTTAAAAGGAGAGAACCAAAGAAAGAGAGAGAGAGAGAGAGAGAGAATTGATAAAGGGAGGGAAAAGAAGGAAAAAGAAAAGTAAACAAAGAGAAACATTCGAGAAGCTATATTTTCGTGAATTTTTTCATGGATCGATGAGATAGGGAAACAGAGAGTGAGAAAGAGAGAAATGATTGAGAACGATGCTTAATACGAAAAGCTTCAATTACGAAACGCGTGTTCTCGCCGAATATTCTTCATTATACGTTCCATTGTTTCTTCACCAGTGATATTTTATACGTTTTCTTTGAATTCGCGGAGCGTGATGAAAAATATTCGCGACTGTTGTAACACGCGTTCCTGTGCGTCGCGGCGAAGTGTTTGTTGCATGGTGAAGACGAGCATGCGATCTAGCATGCGAGTACGCGTATGTCTCTCTGCAAAGCTAAACGAAAAAGTGTTTGGCGGCCCAGTCGTCCTGGTCCCGAAGAACAAAGGTTCGTCGAATAAAAAGAAAGAGAAAGAGAAAGAGAGAAAAGAAACTCTAATCAAGAGCGTTGACAACACGCTGCGAGGAAGCTTGCGTGGACGCAATGTTGTCGCGGATGGAAGACGCGAGAGAGAAATAGAATAACAAACGAAAGAACCTGAGAAGAATGAACGCCGAGGAAACTGATAGAAATGATAGGAAACAGATCGCGTGTGAGAGGGAAAAGAAATCGAATCACTGTCATCCAATAGTCAGCGTGAAAGTCCACGATTAACTTGCGATTAATTATCGTATAAAAGGAACGGAGGGTCCTTCGAACACACACATAACTGTATTTTTCTATTGTTCTTTTACCAAACAAGGTTCCCGAACGGCGGGAACGTCCAACCGGTTTTTCTCTTCCGTTTTCTAAAAAAAAAAAAAAAAAA